GGAGAGGGTTTTTTTTTTTCAAAAAATCAAGAGGGAGGGGGCCAATCTAATTTTAGAGGGAAGGATGTTTCATATTAAGGTGGGTGCCACAGCAGAGAATACACATCTCTTGGGACCCATCAAATCTAGGTCCTTATCTTATGGTATCCACAAGCATGCTCTCTTTATCAGATCTAAAGGGGCAATCTCAAATAACAGGGGAGAGATTAAATTTTGTCTGTCTGTCTGTCTGTCTGGTTAGTTAGTTAGTTAGTTAGTTAGTTAGTTAGTTAGTTAGTTAGTTATATGCCAGCCATCTCCCCTATAAAACAACTCTGGGCCACTATAAAATATAGATAAAATATTCTGCTAAATAGTAGATTAGAAGGATTAATGTTTGAGGACTGGATCACTGTGGGAAAAGATCTCCCTATAAGTTAAAAAAATCTTAATGGCACACCACTGTCATCGTCAAAAATATGAAAGCTCTATGATCTCTCAGGAGAAATTCAAAGAAAGCTACGACGTTGGAAACAGAATGGATTTAAATCATGATTCCAATTAAATGTTCAACATTTCAGAGCAGTTTCATAGCGATACTGAACATCAAAAAGAGCCTGTGCTGGATGTGTTCAAGACGACTGGACAAGTTGCCTTGTTGCTTTAGAGGCAGTCCTTGATTTACGACGGTTCATATAACAATGGTTCAAGTTAAGATGGTGTTGGAAAAAGTGACTTGCGACCTGTACTCACACTTATGACTGTCGGCCCACCCCTGTGGCCACATGATTGCAATTTGGGCACTTGGCAACTGGCTCATATTTATGACTGGTTGAAGCATCCTATGGTCATGTGACTGTGATTTGCAACTATTTTTGCTAATTTCCACCCAAAAAAAAAAAAGCCGATTCAGGAAGCTGGATTCAATTAACAAACATGTGATTCACTTAATAACCACTGTAAAAATTGTCATAAAATCTGATCTCGCTCAATTTACAGCCACAATGATTTATGTTGGACATTCCAGTCCCAAATATAGTTGCAAATTGAGGACTGCTTATAGACTCTTAAAATGAGCAGGGGGTTGATTTCAATAGCCCATCCAACTTTAGGATTTGTTAACTGAGGCCTGGATTGAGAAAACAGTAGGGGTGGATGAGTAGAGATTAATAATCTCAGAGAAGTTAGGATTTATTCACTTTTTTAACCTTACTTTCCTTCCAACACACAACCAAAGCAGGTTAAATAAAAGGTTAAAAGACACAATTTAAAAGACAATCATAATTAAAATGACACCTATCAATCAAATTATTTTAGACACTAATGAGCAGTGAATGCATGTGTATGTTTATGCATATTTATATATGTGTGTATATCTCCTACCAGCAGAAAGTTAACCACAAGAGAATAGTGATGTTTATCTGGGCTGGTTAATCTGACCTAACTAAGCAGGGAGTTCCAAAGGCACAAGTTTAGTAGGGATGATCCCCAATTACTCTTGTTGTGTCAGATCACTGCATCTATTCTACATGCATTTAACTCTTAATTATAATTGGCAGTGGTTTGTGCATTCCATTTTTGCCTGACTTCATTGCTTATATTTGAGTTGTGTACTGTATAGATAAACCTGCCAACACAGCATAATGTATTGGGTGTTAAGAACTCTGGCTCACAAAAATATATGCCATAATCAACCTGCTGGAAGCCTTTAGGGACTCATGTCTTACTACTTAATGGGATGCGTTTGAGTTGGGTTGGGCAACTGTACAATTACCAGCCAGTTGTGATTTCCTTTGAAATTTGTGATCGAAACATCCTATAGCTTAGCACTGGCTGGGAATTTTGGGAGCCGAAGGCCCCACATCTTAAAGTTCCCAAGATTAAGAAACTTAGTGCAGTATATAGATAGTCCTTGACTTACGACAGTTCATTATAATGACCGTTCAAAGTTACAACAGCAGTTGACTGTGTGATTTAGGACCGTTTTTCACACTTACAACCGTTGAAGCAGCCCCACGGTCACATGATCAGAATTCAGACACTTAGCAACTGACTCATATTTATGACGGTTGCAGGGTCATATGTGACCTTTCGGCAAGCAAAGTCAATGGGGAAGCCAGATCCACTTAACAACTATGTTACCAACTTAACAACAGTCGCGATTCACTTAACAACTATGGTAGGAAAGGTTGTAAAATGGAGCTAAACTCACTTAATTCTCTCACTTAACAACAGATATGCTGGCCTCAGTTGTGGTCGTAGGTCGAGGACTAGCTGTATGAATCCACTCAAAAACAGGCCCTATTTAAACTTGAGGTCTTCGTACAGGTAGTCCTCAATTTACAACCACAATTGAGCCCAACATTTCCGTTGTTAAGTGAAATGTTTCTTAAGTGAGTTTTGCCCCATTTTATGACTTTACTTGCCACAGTTGGTAAGTGAATCACTCAAATTGTTAAGTTAGTAAAACAGTTGTTAAAGTGAATCTGGCTTCCCCATTGATTTTACTTGTCAGAAGATCCCACAGAAGGTGATCACATGATCCTTGGACACTGCAGCCATCATAAATATGAATCCGTTCCCAAGAATCTGAATTTTGATCACGTGACCATGGGAATGCTACAACGGTCATAACTGTGAAAAACAGTCATAAGTCCCTTTTTTCAATCCTGTTGTAACTTTGAACGGTCATTAAATGAACTGTTCAAGTCGAAGACTATCTGTATGTCCTAAAACCCAGAAGCCATGTATTCCACTACAGAATCTAAGTTAGAAGAAATCTTTTAAGTCATCGAGTCCAGGGGTCTCCAACCTTGGCAATTTTAAGACTTGTGGACTTCAACTCCCAGCTTTGCTGGCTGAGGAACTCTGGGAGTTGAAGTCCACAAGTCTTAAAGTTGCCAAGGTTGGAGACCCCTGATCTAGTCCAACCTCCTTCTCAGTTCAGGAATCCACTAAACCAAGTGCTTTTTAACTTGTGGACCTAGGACCCCTGGGGCCCCTCAAGACTCTCTTAGGGGCCTACAAAATGAACATTATTGGGCAGCCTATGTTGAAAAATAATACAATATTAAAACTCCATCAATTGTGAGAAAGTGTTGTATCACCAAATGCATCAATTATCATTTCTAATACAGTAAATAATGACAAATGTGACCCATACAGGCAAAAGTTATTTTGGAGGCCCTTCGTAACTTTTTAAAGTCTGAGGAGATTGTGAAAGAAGCAAGTTTAAGAAACCATTTAGCCCTCAATGAGGGGGAATCCAGCACTGTCCCAAGGCTGCCACTTCTTCACAGTCGCTGGCTAGGAGATTCTGGGAGTTGAAGTCCATCCATCTTAAGCTGCCGAAGTTGAGAAAGACTGGCTTAATTGTTTGAGCTTTTCTTTTAATTTCAACCTCTTGATTTCCTGCTCTTGATTTTAACAGAAAACAGCATCACCTTCTCTTATCTTTTGCAGGTAGCAGTCATATCTCCCCTTTTTGTCTGTTGCAAGCTAAACATCTCCAGCAACTTTGAATGGTTTAATTTTCAGACCTCTTATCCTAGCAGCAATCTTGGAAATCTACTCCAGCTTCTCCATACCCCCCTTTTAAAGTGGGGTGAACATGTTGTTATTGCTGAGTCACTAAATTATGTCTGACTCTTTGCAACCCAATGGATCACAGCATACCAAGATCACCTATTCTCCTCTGTCTTCCAGATTTTGCCCAAATTCATGTTCATTTTGATGACACTATTTAACCATCTCATCCGCTGCCATCCCCTTCTCCTTTTGCCTTCAATCTTTTCCAGCATCAGTGTCTTTTTCAATTAGTCCTCTCTTCTCATTTGGTATTTGAGCTTCAGCTTCGTATCTGTCCTTCCAAAGATGTCAGGATTCCTTTAGGATGGACCAACTTTATCTCCTTGCAATTCAAGGGACTCTCAAGTGTCTTCTCCAGCACAATTTGAAAGCATCAGTTCTTTGGTGCTCACCCTTCCTTATGGTCCAACTCTCACAGCCATACATAACTACTGGGAAAACCATAGCTTTGACAATAATAACCAAATATTGTAGAGTCTCACCCATGCTTAGGGCTATTATTATCTCCTGTGATCTATGGCACGTATGTTTGTAAACACAGCTGACTAACCCTAACCCTAACCCTAACCATGGCCTGTTTAGCTGCTGCATCACACCCCTTGTGGTTGATGGTCGCTGTTCTCCTAAATCAGTGGCGTCCGCAGGAGCTGATTGCTTTAGTCAGAATGATGAAAGTAGCATTATGCTGTCATCTTGCAAACTTTACTCTTCTGGGCATGGAGCAACATTGTATGCTGAAAAAAGGCCATGGCGGACATAGCAATATTATGAGGCTGATGATGTCATACCTCACCCTCCACCTGTCCTAAATCCTTCTCAGGTGCATGGCTGCCAACCCAAATCTCCTGGGCCAATTTCCACAATACCCAGGCAGAAACTCTGCTGTCTGGGGCATCAGCACAGAATCACATTTGGCTGTCTCCACTTCCTCCCACATTTAGGTATTGCTCCACCCCGTGACCTATACAATTTGGTAAAGTTTTCCAATGGGGGGATAAGAAAAAAACTTAACACGTTTAACTTTCTGGCAATCTTTTTCATTGCAATTCAGCAAAGCTAGAACCTAAACATGATGCAAATGAAGTCGATCCTGATTAAGAGTTTCGTTACTCCGCAGGTTTGTTACTTTTTGGTCAGCCTAGGCTCCTTCCATCAACTCTGTTGTGATAACAAAGTCAGAAAGAGAAAAGCAGACTCAGCGCCATGTAGTCATATACTGCGCTTGCGCTTCGCGCAAACCGAGGTCCTAAACGTCCCTTTTTCCGCCCTACTTTAGCTCTTGCGCGTGCGCAGTATCACGGTGAAAGAGCCGGAGGAAGGCCATTTGTTTTATGACCCCGTGCCCTTAAGATTCTTCTCCCGCTTCTCGTCTCCCTGCCCGTGCGCAATCTCCTCCAACGCCTCGCTCTCTTCGCGCATGCGTAGTACTGCCCACAAGACGCGTGCCTAATACGTCATCTCCCGGAGCCATCCGGTGGGTTTTCTTTGCATATCCGCGCGGCGGGTGTTTTTTCAGGGAGCGTTATGGACGACGAAGAAGAGACTTATCGATTATGGAAAATCCGGAAAACAATCATGCAGGTCAGGAGAAGGAGGAAGAAGAAGGACGGGCCTTGGGAATGGGGGTAGGACAGGGTTTGCCATTCTGACCTGAACGTTATGGAGCAGAGGTCTCCAAGCTTGGCCACTTTAAGCCTGGCGGACTTCAACTCCCAGAATTCCCCAGCCAGCTTTGCTGGCTGGGGAATTCTGGGAGTTGCAGTCCGCCAGGCTTAAAGTGGCCAAGGTTGGAGACCCTTATTATGGAGGGAGAAAATGTCCGTTCTTTCTCTTAGTTGGGTTCGGTGTTTCCAAACCATATACAAAATATTTAGATCATTTGTTTTATTTGGATTATTTTAAAATAGGTCATTGTTCCGGCTTGTTTGCAATTAAAAATATATTGCGCTTTCACCAAAGCTACAAAATTACCGTATTAGTTAAAAAAAAGAAAGGATGGTAACTTTGTAATAAAATGATAAAGTTTGGGATGGGGCAGGTCAAAAATCTGTCTGGCTATTGGAAAAGTGAGTGACCTAGCAGTAGCACCCACTGTAGTCAACTTTGGAAGATCTCGGAGAACTAAAATCAGATCAAAGACTATTAAATAATCCTAGAGTTGTAGGCTAGATTAGAAGAATGAAAAGCAATCTAGATGAAAGCAAACCATTTCCATACTGTTGCCAAGAAAACAACGTTAATGCTTCCATGTATAGTATTTAATATTTAGTATTCCATATATAGTATTTAGGGATGCAGTGGCTCAGTGGCTAAGACGCTGAGCTTGTCGATCGAAAGGTCGGCAGTTCAGCGGTTCGAATCCCTAGTGCCGCGTAACGGCGTGAGCTCCCGTTACTTGTCCCAGCTTCTGCCAACCTAGCAGTTCGAAAGCACATAAAAAATGCAAGTAGAAAAATAGGGACCACTTTTGGTGGGAAGGTAACAGTGTTCCATGCGCATTTGGCATTTAGTCATGCCGGCCACGTGATCACGGAGATGTCTTTGGACTGCGCTGGCTCTTCGACTTTGAAACAGAGATGAGCACCACCCCCTAGATTCGGGAATGACTAGCACATATGTGCGAGGGGAACCTTTACCTTTATATAGTATTTACCAGGATTTATGACTCCAGAGAGACTATATATTACCTTGTTTGAATGAGAATGTATAAAAAGGGGAGCATAGAAGAAATAGTGAGGAGTGGGGCTCATAGCTGACATATTTAGATTGCTGGCAAAGTCAGTCCACTATTTGAGGTGGCTTTATTGTCAACAGTTGCCTTAGAACATCTTTGTATAGGTTCTTAAATGAATGGTTCACTACAGGTAGTCCTTGACTTACAACTGTTCATTTAGTCACCGTTCAGAGTTACAACGGCACTGAAAAAAGTGACTTATGAGCAGCATCCCCCATGATCATGTGATCAAAATTCAGATGTTTGGCAACTGGTTCATATTTATGACCGTTGCTGTGTCCCAAGGTCATGTGATCACCTTTTGAGACCTTCTGACAAGCAAGGTCAATGGGGAAGTCGATTCACTTCACCGGGTGATTCACTAACTTATCAACTGCAGTGATTCACTTAACAACTGAGGCAAGAAAGGTTGTAAAATGGTGCAAAGCTCACTTACGGTAATAAATGTTTTAATTAACAACAGAAATTTTGGGCTCAATTATGGTTGTAAGTCGAGGACTACCTGTACCTGCTACTATAGTTACTTGCATTCTTCAGCATAGTATTATATTAATATTTACATGCACTTTTTTTTGGTCCTTAAATCAGCTGTGCCACGATCGAGGCTACTTGGTAACACAGGATGAATTGGATCAGACTCTGGAAGAGTTCAAAGCCCAGTTTGGTGATAAGCCGAGTGAAGGGCGACCTCGGCGTACTGATCTCACGGTGTTAGTGGCCCACAACGATGATCCTACGGATCAGATGTTTGTCTTTTTCCCAGGTGATTATACTAAAATAGATTTGGTTATTACTTCCAGGAACCTGGAATTTTATTGCATCTTCATTCATTCTGCTTTCTTTTCTTGAATTAATTCAGTGACATTTTTATTCAGTTTTTGTTTGTTTCTTCTTTCATGTCTTGCAGTTTTAAATTCCTAAAAGCCAATCTTCTCTTTGAAGATCTGGAATGAATTTTCCCATCCCTCTTCATCAGTTCTTTCTGCTAGCTGACTTTTACCATCTGTGTATTTTAAGGAAATATATCTGGCTTTTTATTGTTGTATTTTTAGTTATATTATGTCAGTTGAGTGGAGTAAATGTGACATCTGTTGTTTTCCCTGTTTTTAAATACAGAGTGGATGAAACAGTGAAATTGGCACATTAACTTTTTATTTACTGTAATGTCATTTGTTAGCAAGGCACAAATAATAGTTTGACCAGTACACTTATAGCAAAAAACCTACACTTTTTAGTGTGTAGTAAAATTATTTTGATGGTAACAACTGTTTTATAAATGGAGTACATTTATTCCTGAAGCTGATGGCATATCTTTTTAAAAAATTAATGATCAAGCAAAAATTTTATACTATTAAGAGTAGTTAGAATTTTTTTTAGAAAATTTCCTTTTCTAAAGAAAACTATATAATGGCTAAATGTTCGCATATTTATAAGAATGATATGAGGTTTGATACTTATAACTTTCATCTTCTGCAGCTGTACTACTTTCTCAACTAAATCAGCTTTTGAAGAACATAAAAATAAATGGTATTTCATTAGACAATTTAACGAATACTTAATCCTCTTTCTGCTGTTTTTGATTATATAGTAGGGCAATGAAACAGCTATCGTGCTACTGGAAATTTTATTTGGTGGAAAGTCCAGCCGCTGAAATTATGTTTGTTTGAAACAATGGGAGTTGCAAGCTTCCTGCTTTACTATTAAACCTTTCAATTCATTTATTATTAAAGGGGAGCTTGAATTCTAATCCTGAAGCAGATGTCAGGCCTAATGAACAAAGTATTCTATTTCATGAGATTCTCCACTTACAAACAAACAAAAATCTCTTTTCAGAGGAACCAAAAGTTGGGATTAAGACCATCAAGATGTATTGCCAGCGAATGCAAGAGGAAAATATTACTCGGGCCCTGATTGTGGTGCAACAAGGCATGACCCCATCTGCCAAACAGGTACCTTGAGTTTAAATGGGCAGAAGGAATGTTGATATCATCTCATTGCTGGGTAAGGGATCCTGACCTGTAATTTTCAGAGAACAATGATCTCTTCTTGGGGGAGGGCTATATCCCAAGGCATTGTCTTTAATAGAGAACGTCATTCAAATTAGAAAGTTCTCAAGAGTATTGGTCATAGAAATCTCTTACCCCACCATCTTAATGTTAATATTTGCATGCATTTCTCAGCTTTATGGATGCCACCATATCACTGAACAGCACATCCAAAGTAGCATAGGATTATCCTAGTGGACGGTCACTTAAATATGAGCCAACAGTGTGTGGCAGCAGCCAAAAAACCCAATACTATTCTAGGCTGCATGAATAGAGGAATAGACTCAAGATCACATAAAGTATTAATACTGCTTTAAAAAGCCTTAGTAAGACCACACTTGGAATACTGCATCCAGTACAAGTGATCCCCGACTTAAAACAGTTCGCTTAGTGACAATTCAAAGTTACTGAAAATGCAATGAAAAAAGTACAATGAAAAAAGTGACTTATGACTGTTTTTCACATTTACAACTGTTTGCAGCATCTCCGTGGTCATGTGATCAAAATTCAAATGCTTGAGAACTGACTCACATTCATGACGGGTGCAGTGTCCCTGATCATGTGATCCCCTTTTGTAACCACCTGACAAGCAAGGTCCATGGGGAAACCAGGTTCACTTAACAACGGTGTTACTAATTTAACAACTGCAGTGATTCGCTTAACAAGAGTGGCAAGAAATGTCGTATAACGGGGCAAAACTCACTTTAAAAATTTCTCACTTAGCAGCATACATTTTGGGCTCAGTTGTGGTCGTAAATTGAGGACTACCTGTTGTTAAGGAATTCGCAGAATAACCCTTGAATAGCAAGGGTGTGCATATGAAAGCGATTGAGAGTAGATACGAATAAGCACAGTCAACACACAGATACACTGAGTTGTGTTTACTTTAAGGAAATAGTAAGGCACAGTCCAATAAACAGTCCAGGTCATACACATATAAAGCAGGAGATAGCAAAACGACAGTCCAGGGATAATCCAATAACAAAGTCTTCTTACTAGTCGTCGTAGTCATTCACAATAAACAGTTCTTCTGGATTTGCAAACAGTAGTATACAGAGATATCAGAGAGCAAGAACAGCAAAGAGAACAAGCTCCCTCTCAAGGACATTGGCAACACAGCTAACCAATCAGGACACAGTATGATGCAATACAGCAGTCTTAAAGCTATACAATACAATTGAAATACACTGCAAACATACATTGATGGTTTATATATTGCCAATCCAACAAGTTAGGTAATAGTCTTATTCCTAACACCTGTATTTGATCACCACAATATAATAAAAGATGTTGAGACTTTGGAAAGAGTGCAGAGAAGAGCATCAAAGATGATTAGGGGCCTAGAAGCTAAACCATACAAACAACGATTGCAGGAACTGGGTATACCTAATCTAGTGGAAAGAAGGACCAGAGGTGACATGATCTCAGTCTAATACTTGAAGGGCTGCTACAAGGAAGAAGGAGTCAGCCTATTTTCCAAAGCACCAGAAGGCAAGATAAGAAACAATGAATGGAAACTAACTAAGAAGAGGAGCAACCTAGAACTAAAGTTTGAGTTTGGGCTTTAAGGTACCAGTAAGAGGGATTGCAGTCTCTTTCTCTCTCTCCCCTTTTCCCACCAAGTCTCTTCCTAAATATTGAAGCCCCTTTCTTAATTTACAACCCTATCTGCTGCCTCAATGTCTCTTTTCTCTTTCTCTGTTTTAGTCTCTAGTAGACATGGCTCCCAAGTACATCCTTGAGCAATTCCTTCAACAGGAGCTGCTGATCAACATCACTGAGCATGAGGTGAGGAAGGAAAAGGGGAGGGGAGGTGTTGTGTGGGGGACATTGGTTGTGCCTATGAGGAGTGCATTGAGAGGAACAATATAAGCTCTGTTATCATTCACTTGTCAGAAGCTGTTTCTGTGGAAGAGTTTTTCTGTGCATAGCAGAATCTAGCTATTTCTATATTGTGTTTTCATCCTTTTCTTTCCTTTTGCCACTACAGCTGGTTCCAGAACATGTTGTAATGACCAAAGAAGAGGTGACAGAATTACTGGCCAGATAGTATCTTTTTGCCTTTGTAACTTACTGTTTTTGAGTATCTTCCTCAGTTTTCTGCTTGTTCTGAGTTAGGTTGCTGTTGTCTTTCAGATATCAGTTCAGGGGTTGAATTTTCTAGCATTATCCTGTGTTAAGAGGAAAATATGTCTAGGATTTTTAACATGAATATGGGGTTAAAATGATAATCTTATCTTCTTGACTTTGGGTTTGGATAGGGTCTATAAAACTAGAAACTAGAAGCATAACAGTAAACCCAATGTATGAGTAAGCATGCATTCTATTGTCTGAAAACAGCTCCATTGACGTGCATTAGTTTTCACGGTTCAGATTATAAATCTGGGTTTACAAAATGCATTTCACACAATATATCAAGGGCAAATTAGTCACATTGCTTAAAGTGAAGCTTTGCTTCACTCATGATGCTAAAACAGGCCCTGGATTTCCACGTTTCCCCAAACCACAAATTGCCAACTTTATTTAGCTTAAACTAAGCAAGTTGTGTGAAAGTAACCAAAATATACTGTGATTCCGGTATAGGAAATTTAAAAAGGTCCTTTAAAAATTTTTATTTTAAAAAGTAAAATATGTTTATTTTTTTATATGTTTTGAAAATTTTCCTTTAACTGCTGTTGTCAGTAAACTAAGGGAGAATCAGCTTCCAAGAATACAAGCTGGAGATCCTGTAGCTCGCTATTTTGGAATTAAAAGAGGCCAGGTAAGGAGCAGGAGAAAGGAAGGTGGAGAATATGTCATTTCCCAATAGATTTGATAAATATCTGATAAATAAATGGAGGTTATAAGTAGCAATAAGTTCTGATATCTAAATAGACGCTCAGGAAGCCTGATCGTGAAAGAGTAAAAAAAAAGGTTTTTTTTGGCTTTTGTATTGTTCAGTGGGATCTACTTAGATTAAATGGACTTTAGCACAGTTCACTTGGGCTTTTGTTAGATCAGGGGTTTTTTTCTGAATGCTCCTCTAAATCCATAGCTGGCAAACATTACTTACATACAGGGTGGATAAAAATCAATGATTTTTTAAAAATTTTTTTAAAAAAATAAGATTTTTTTTATTTAAATCGGATTTTTTTGATTTAAATCGGATTTTTTTTATTTTTATTGAATTTATTTTAATAAAAAACTTTTGGGGTAAAAATCTATCGTAAGATAGTTTTCTATTTAAGATACATAGATAATTTAGTTTATTCAGCATGAAATGGAGCTTAGTTATATAGCATGAGGCTGTATATTCTGCAACACTGGGACGATCGGTGAGTCAACAGTGGGTCAAAGGAGTAGCAGAGATGACAGTTGCTCTTTAAAAATTATGATTTAAATCGAGTTGATTTAAATCAAGCCTTTTTACTAGTGATTTAAATCATGATTTAAATTGTGATTTAAATCAACTCGATTTAAATCAAATCCACCCTGCTTACATACTCCTTCCTCTTCCTATTTTCCCCACCACAACAACAACCCTGTGAGGTACGTTGGGTAGAGAGTGGCAGGCCCAAAGTTGCCAAATCCAGGATATTCGGAAGGATCAGGTTGGGTGAAGGGTCAACTTGGTTTGATCTGTATAGCAGATTGCATGATGAAACCCTGAAATGTTGGCTGTCCATCAGCCATTTTACAGGGATTCATTATATAACCGTTTCTGAAAAATAATCTGAATAATTTTCTTTCTCTATTGTCCGCATGGTTTCTTCAGGTGGTGAAGATCATTCGGCCTAGTGAAACAGCCGGGCGTTATATCACTTACAGGCTGGTGCAGTAGCCAAGAAGTGTCATATAAAGGTACTATGAAGTGTTTCATTATCTTAAAGGTTGTTAAAATGGACATTCCTTCCTCTTTCATGCTTCCTTCCGCTTTGTCGGATTTGTGTGGACCAAAGAATGCAAAGGTTATAACAGGAGCAGGAGTTGGAGGGTTGAGATTTTATGTATCTTTGTTATTCATTCTGATGGGCAGTGCTGATAAAGACAGTCCATGGTGTTGTTGTTGTTTTTTTCACTCTGGAGCAGGGCCTAGGTGGGGAGAGGAGGAGAAATGTGCAAATCAAGAGATCAACTGTTGCGGGATTAAAACTCCCATCAAATCCTCATCAACATGGCCGATAATCAGAGGAAAAAGACTAGAGGAGTCTAGATTCTTCTCAACCATAAGATGCTTAACCTGTGCCATGATTGAAGGGTACAAAACTCATGATATGGCATGGATAAAATGAACAAAAAGAAGGAATTCTCTCTTTCCCAGTACTAAAGCCAGAAGAAAGAATCTGAACGAATCAGGATAGATAAAAGGATTTTTGGGTTTTTTTTTACACAACACCTCATTTAATTTGAAATTCCTTGCCATGAAATACGAAGCTGGCTACTAGATTGGCTGGCTTCAATAAAGGGTGGGACCAATTCACAGTAGTCCTGGGGATCAGTAACTACTGATGGCAGTGAAAGTGCCTTGGTAGTACAGTGGTCTAAGGCACCCTGTTATTAAGCTGGTTATTAAGACCAGCTGCCTGCAATTACTGCAGGTTCGAATCTCGCCAAGGCTCAAGGTTGACTCAGCCTTCCATCCTTTCTAAGGTAGGTAAATTGAGGACCCAGTTGTGGGGGCAATAAGCTGACTTTGTATAAATATACAAAAGGATGAAGGCTATTGCTGAGCACATTGTAAGCTGCCCTGAGTCTCCGGAGAAGGGCGGCATATAAATCAAATTAAAAAAAGAAAAAAAACCCTCCTCTAAAGGCCATCTACTGGGAGGCTTCTTTGGGCATCAGTGGGCCACTGTGAAAACAAACCACCAGATTAGATGGGCCAGAGTCTGATCCAGTAGGACAGGGGTCTCCAACCTTGGCAACTTTAAGCCTGGTGGACTTCAACTCCCAGAATTCCCCAGCCAGCTTTGTAGTTGAAGTCCGACAGCCTTAAAATTGCCAAGGTTGGAGACCCCTGCAGTAGGACACTACTTACATTCTTACTGTTCTCATTGGGTTTTCTGTCTCTTCGTTAGGATTAAAAGTTGGCTTAAAAAAAAAAGGAAAATCACTCACAGAATCTCACAGCCGAATATAGGCAGTCCTCAACTTAGGATAACGGCGGAGCCCAAAATTTCTGTCTGGCTAAGCGAGACAGTTGTTAAGGGAGTTGCACCCCATTTTACGACCGTTTTGTCACCGTTGTTAAGTGAACCACTTCAGTTAAATGAATCATGCAGTTGTTAATTGAATCCGGCTTCTCTCCTTGTGGAAAGCTGGCTGGGAAGGTTGCCAATGGTGATCACATGATCCCGGGACAGTGCAACTGTCATAGATACATGCCATTTGTCAGGCGTCCGAATCTTGGTCACCATTGGGATGCTGCGATGATTATAAGTGTGAAATCCAGTCACAAGTCACTTTTTCCAGTGTGTTTATATCTTCAAATGGTCATTAAATGAACCGTCGTAAATCGGGGGCTCCCTGTGCTATAACCATCCTGCCTATGGATGTGATAAGAACTGTAGCTAAGTTTTGAAGAACATGGGATGGGATGAAGTGAGTATACAGAATTGGCAGAAGAATCTATATAGTTTTTATTATTTGCTGACCAATAATATTTGTACCCAAAGCCAGACTAGAAATGTAACAGACTGTTGTGTGAATCGGAGTTCCCCAATCTGCTGAGTCTAGATGCGTTGAGCTATAACTCCATTATCCAGCAGCCACTCCAGCCACGAACAATGGAAATTTTATTTAACTTGGAGGATATCAGCTTGAGGAATGCTGGTGTAGAAAGGGCAAGCATATCTGTGATGTCTTAATTGGTATTGCAGTTAATCAGCTACCGTATTTTTGGGAGTATAAGACGCTCCGGAGTATAAGGCGCACCTTATTTTTTGGGGGGGGAAATCTGCTTGTTTGAGAGGCTGAGTTTGCAAGCTCCAAAAGCTCTGTTTGCAAAGGAGCTTCTTTGCAAAGGCAGCCTCTCAAACGGACCTTTTGGAGGCTGTTTGAGAGACTCTGTTTGGGAGACTGCATTTTTATTTATTTATTTTTATTTTAATTTGATTTATATGCTGCCCTTCTCCGGAGACTCAGGGCGGCTTACAATGCGTTAAGCAATAGCCTTCATACTTTTGTATATTTTATACAAAGTCAGCTTATTGCCCCCACAATCCGGGTCCTCATTTTACCTACCTTAGAAAGGATGGAAGGCTGAGTCAACCTTAAGCCTGGTGAGATTCGAACCTGCAGAAATTGCAGGCAGCTCTGTTAATAACAGGGTGCATTAAACCACTGTACTACCAAGGCTCCTAAAGCTCCTATTTGCAGCCTCCAAAAGCTCCATTTGAGAGGACGCGCGGAGGCCGAAGGGTAGGGGCCAGCGGGTGGGCGGGGCTACATTCGGTGTATAAGACGCACCCACATTTTCACCCTCTGTATAAGTGCATCTTATACTCCAAAGAATTGTGACATGAATACAGTGTCAAGCCTGAATTTGATTGGGGTGTGGGATTGTTTGAATCATTGGATATTCTGCCATGAATTCAGTTTGACACAGTTTGAAGCTGAAGGCGGGTGGAGCCTTCAGTCAAAACATGGTTCCTAGCAGATGAGTCAACCACATTCCAACGGCCGGTTGACCGGAGGAGAAGGAGAGAAGTCGCCAAGCAACCAGCTCCCATCTTGGTTGGACAGTGTGACAGTTTGTTTTGGGAACTTGAGAAATTGAAACTTATATTGGGGTGAAAAGCCCGGGAATTTCAATACTGGCTTTTCACCAGTTAGTGCCAAGATGGTGTATCTAAATAAATTTGTTCTTTGAGAGAAAGGAATGCCTCGGAGTTCAATTTGTGATGGATGCATTACTTGGAATCTGACATACAGAATTCAAATTAGACACTAATGCTGCTTCTCTTATCCTATAGCCGTGATGGCGAACCTATGGCACGGGTGCCACAGGTGGCACGCGGAGCCATATCGGTGGGCACGCAAGCTCAGCTCTGACACACATGTGCGCACCGGCCAGCTGATTTTCGGGCCTTCCGGGCCCACTGGAAGTCGGCAAACAGGCTATTTCCGGCCTCCGGAGGGCCTCCAGGGAGGTGGAGAAGGCCATTTTCACTCTCCCCAGGCTCCTAGAAAGCCTCTGGAGCCTGGGGAGGGCGAAAAACGGGCCTACTGGGCCCGCTGTGCCATCACATGCCAAAAGCGACGGAAGCACAGTGTTGTGGTGGTGTCACTCATAGAATTATGGGTGTGGGCACACACACACGCAACCCCTCTGCGCTCCCCCCACTTTTGGCATGTGTTGGCAAAAAGGTTAGCCATCACTGTCCTGTAGCAATGTCTGAAGCTCTTTTTACCTTACTCTGCAGATGCCAATCCGCTTGCTTAACAGTCTTGAGCATAAGGAAATACGAGAGTTTACAAGAATGTGAAGAAACGTACCAACTTGAGACTTTGAACTTCAAGCTTCTAGTCCTTTCCATCCAACCAATCGGTCATGAAGAAGAAAGGAGTCAGCAGCAGCACAGGAAATGCTGCATTGATTTTCCAAACTGGACTTCATCTTGCTTGTATAAACTGGATGTATTATTTGTTTATACCACTTTTCTGGAATTTGAGTTAGTTTGGGGTAAATATTTAAGGCAGCAACAGTTTTTATTTGCCAAATCCGGAAGAAGGATGCTTTAGAAAGCTTCAAATGTGAGGGCTTCCTTATTCCTTCTGTAGATAACAGGGTAAGGAGGGGTTTGGAGGACAGAGGGGCTCCATTGGATGTGCCTTTCGGTGGCCTTTTGTGGGGGGGAGAGTAGAGGTTCTAAGGATTAAAATGGGAGCATAGGCCGCTAATCTCCTGGGAATGCAAAAGAAGGTTCTGGGAGTCACCTGTAATTATGAACCAGTCACTTTTGTCTTGAAAAATGGACTTGTATAAACCCTGGAAGATAATCTGGATTCTTCAGAAGGTCCCTGCTGCTGCCTTCCCTGTTCTGTTAACTATCGCTGAGTTATTGCTAAGGTTCAGAGTTTGCTCAGTGATCCAGAATTTTTTATTTCAATAAAACAGTGTGTGTTTTATTTCTCTCTCTTTTTTTTTTCTTGTTGCCTTAAGATGAATTGGAAATCTCTTCTTCTTCTTGTGCCGTATCTGTCATCGGATGTTGGCGATCATGTTGGCAATCCTATTTTTGTCAACAGCCATATGAAAAAGTGCTGCTGAGTTTTGTCCAAACCAGTCCCTAAGGTTTTGAAGCCATGATGTTCTTCTTCTGCCTGGAGCTTGTTTGCCTTCAATCTTTCCTTGGAGAATTAAGTGAAGGATGCCGTATTTTTCTGGGTGTCGCATCACATGACCAAAATGGAAATCTCTGCCTATTCATATTTGTTGGGGTGTAGTTCCCCTCAATCTATCCAGTATGGTCCTTCTACCTGTGGCTGTGATATTGGAGTTCAGCAACGACCAATGTTATTGTTAAGGTGCCGAGTAATGAACCCAACCAAACATTACTTTTAGAGGGTTGCAGCTTGCCTGTCTGTAAGAATTGATCCTCTCTATGTTCTGCCCCAGCTACGGACCCCAAAGAACGCAACACACATAAAGTCCGTTCAAACTTTAGTTTACTAAATAAACCAGTTTTTTACAACAACGGCTGTTAATTAACTGCATTAACAGCCAAGAATTCAAAGAATAATACTGAAAGCTTACTGTGGTTGGCAGAATGCCCAGAAGCAATTTGCAGGAAGCTGATAAGATAAGCAAGACAAGACGAGTTGTTCCCTGCAAATTGCTTCAGTGGCCTTCCTCCTTAAATAGGCTAAGGGAGTGGCCAATTAGCCCCAAGCCTTACTCTCGAGGAGACCTGAGGAGCCACTCCTGCCTTTTGGCAGCTCTGCGTGCCCGTGCATCAAGAAGAGGCTCCTCTTCGTCCTCTTCACTTAAGGGAGCTTCTGGGGATTCTGAAGGCCCTGGCTGAATCCCTGCCCCTGGCACCACATCTTCTCCAGCCTCCTCATTGTCTGACTCGAGTGCCAGCTGCACAGGCTGCTGACGCAACACCACACCAGCCTCCTCGCTGTCGGAATCAGCCACCAGCTGCACCGGCCGCTGACGGGCCACAACACTCTAGGACTTCTTTTCTCTGACAAAAGCAGGGAGGGGAGGGGTTTGGAACCCCGAGTGATCTCCTTTTAAATCAGGTGGTTTTGAAGGAGGAGATCCATTGCTTTCTGAAAAGTACGTAAAAAGAAAGGCGCGCTCAACTTGAATAAAATATGGAAAATTCTTCAGTGTAGTATTGTGGATGGGAGAAGATGGGTAGCTAGGCAACCACATCAGTAAGAGGTCTGAAAGCAGCAGTGTTTTAATTGAAAAATGAGCTCTGATTTGAGCGTAGACAGTTGCGCAACAGCTAAATTATTAGATATATTAATATTTCTATAGTAAGGCAATCATGACTAGAAAAGAGGTTAAGTATAAATTACTGATAAAAATAGCCGTCATTTAGCGATTGCTTCATTTAGCAACTGTTCACAGTTAACAACTGATGAAAAAATTACTTTGCAATCCATCCTTGCATTTAGAATCTTTGCAGGTCTGTAAATCTGAATAGTAATTCAGATTTACAGTGGCGTCTCTTAGCTACTGCCTTACTTAATGACCAAGTAGCCAGTCCCAATTATGGATGAGAATTGAGATGATCTGTATCGTCAAAATCCAGATTGATACAACCAGGTATACTAAGTCTATCTGAAAAGCTGCTCAAATGTTGAGCGTCTGGTCTCAGGCAGTGAGAGCCAAGGTGAGTTATGATGGGAGCAGCTCTGAAGCAACCTCCAATTCATTTTCCTATCTACTGATCTGATTCAGAGGAGATGCTAAGCCAGGGCATGGTTAGACATAGGGTGATGAGTGAATCTATGCTAGACCATAGGTTTAACCAGTTACAGAATCCCTTAACCGGATTGCATCTGTGGTTTATATTAGGCTTAGTTACCACGGTGCTAGTTTGCATATCATCTGAGGATGGATTAAAGGGATGGATCATGGATGGCTTTTAAGCTTGGCTAAACCTCTGAATGTAGAGGGTGAGGGAAGGTGTGGCCTTGAAACAGAGTTGTGGCAATATTGGCCACTCCATTTCTCTTCCTCTGAAAGTATAAAAAGAAAGCAGTTGGGTGAGGCTTTTTGTCCGCTGACTTTAATCCTGATCAGGCCATTGGAGTCTTTAATTCTTTCTAATGAGAAGTATCGAAAAAAAATCCAGGAAGTATTCGCTAACCCAGATTCATTCATTCATATATATATAATCAAATTGGTGAAGGATTCATCCTTCATATATAGTGTTAGTCAAATGTGACTGGCTTGTGGTTTGTTTGTATTTGTGGGTCTGGTTTCTTATTCACGATTAAGTGGTAGCTTAGACTATCATTTAAATAGATTGTGGAGTGATTCTGGATCTTTGTCAAACTACAATATTGTTACATTGTGTGAATTCAGCCAGCTGTCAACCATGATTTAGAACATGATTCAACATGACATAAGAGCAGAGTCTCGCTGTTTAGAAAAGCAGCAGTCTAAAGGATTAAAACAGCATTTTTCAAACTTGGCACTTTAAGACATCTTAAAAGTTGCCTAGTTTGAAAAACTGTGGATTATAAGGAAAGATCCCACATATGCCTTATATATATACTGTGTGTGTGTGTGTGTGTATATATATATATGTAGGTCTTTGGTTATTCGGGTCTTCTCCCACGTAAAATTGGAAGTGTCTTGGCGACGTTTTGACGAAGTCTCATTCGTCATCTTCAGGCTGGTGTTCTCGGCTTCGTGCTTCCAGGAGCAATGTGAGATCGCAGCTGTTTCTTCCTTTTAACTGCTAGTGGGGGTGTGAACTGATTGAGTGGGAGCTTGGCTCCCACCTAATGTCCATTTATATATATGGACATATGACATATGTCCATATATATATGGACATATGAGGAAAGGTTACAGGAATTGGGTATGTCCAGTCTAGTGAAAATAAGGATTAGAGGCGACATGATAGCTGTCTTCCAATATCTCAGGGGCTGCCACAAAGAAGAGGGAGTCAAGCTATTCTCCAAAACACCTGAAGGCAGAACAAGAAGCAATGGATGGAAACTAATCAAGGAGAGAAGCAACCTAGAATTAAGGAGAAATTTCCTGACAGAACAATTAATCAGTGGAATGACTTGTGAGTGTTCCATCACTGGAGGCTGTTAAGAAGAAACCAGACAACCATTTGTTTAGTGGTATAGGGTCTCCTGTCTGAGCAGGGTTGGACTAGAAGACTTCCAAGGTCCCTTCCCCAACTCTTGTTATTCTGAGTTCTTTTTAATGCAAAGAGTTACCTAGGAAACACTAAACACAGTTATTGGGTGCAAATATCACTTCCCCAAATATAGTTTATTTTTTGATACAAGTCTTATAAAAACAAAAGTGTATAGAGCAGTTTAAAAGGAAACAAGCATCTCATTAAAATAGGCTTACTCACACATACCTATATATAAATACAAGCAGTGAAGACTTGCACTTCAACTTTATTCACTCATTTTTCTCATCCACATCTCAAGAAAACACCCAAAAGCCTTCCTTCGCTGTGTGCTACCGTTCCAGCCTTCTCCAGAAGGCAAAAGATTTCTTGCTATGGTTTCCTTTTTCACAGATAAATATGATATGCCTTTGCTTTAGATCAAGTTGCCACCTAAGCCATTTTAAGACCTGTGGACTTCAACTCCCAGAATTCCCCAGCCACCATTGACAACCAGAATCCCTCCACATTACTGGCTGGGGAATTCTGGGAATTGAAGTCCACAGGTCTTACAATGGCCAAGACTGGGAAACACTGTTTTAAATGAATGCTATAATTCAGTTATGTACAACAGACCTTTAAAGGTAATGTAGCAGTTCCACTAGGCCTTTATTGTGAAATGCCCTCAAATCATCCACAGTGGTTCTAAAAGCTGTTTAGGTGTCTTAAGCACATTTACCTCACAAATACTTTGTGTCTCTGCTATAGATCTCAAGTGGCTTCTCAGAATCTGAATACTGGTGCACTAAACAGTGTGGTGGATTTCTCCAGCAGATCCCACTTGAGAGTACATGTAGCCTTCGCTTAGCGATCACAACTGGGACCAGCAACTCTTGTCATTCAATATCTTGTCACTAAATGAAACATCATGTGATCGTGATGGTCTGGCTTCCACGATGGCTGTTAAGCAAATCATTGCAGTCATTAATTGAAACCTCATGTGACTGTGACTTCTGATTTTATTGCCTTCTTCTGCATTGACTGCTTGTCGCAAGTCAAGTTGCGAAGCACACAAATGTCAGCCACAGGACTGCGGGATACTGTCATGGTCGAAAACATCCCCCCAGTTGCCAAGTGCCTGAATGACATGAGTGTGGGGATGTTGCTCTGGTTGTAAATGTGAGGACTGGTCATAAAGGTATTTTTTTTTCAGTGACACTGTAATTTTGAGCGCTAAATGAGGTGGTGGCTAAGCAAGGTCTCACATAAAGCCCCTTCAGCTGGCTCTACTGGCACTTTTCATACAGCTGTGCAATAAGCATATGTCCCCCCCCCTCATTCCCTGATAGGATCGATCCACATCCACAACCCAATGCTGGTCCTTAGACCGCAGTAGGATTTGCACAAGTGGATTTCAGCCTTCAAGTAATCCAGCCAAACTCATCCAGTCAAGCTCATCCAGCGTTTTGTCTGTACCCTGATTTTAAAAATACCATAGTATCCCTGAAGTGGTTTTACTTAGAAACAAATATAATCTGCTAATGTTTAAACAAACATATCTGAAGATCTAGGATCACAATGGGGGTATTGTTTCCTGAAAGGGATGGAACCTCAAAGATGGGAGGGAGTGTCTCTGTCTGTGGCTCTTCTTTTGAAAGAGCATTTCTCAAGCTACTGCTCCCCCCCACCACCTTGGTTGGTTAGGACTATGCAGGAAGAAAGATGGAAGTGAGATCCAAAATTTCAGAAGGGCATTTAGGTTAGAGAAAAGTGTCTTAAGAAAGTTTGGATGTTGCAGAGTCTTTCCAA